CACCATCACATCACCATCACCACCATCACCACCACCGTCACACCACCACCATCACACCAGAACACCCACCATCACATCACCATCACCACCATCACTACCGCCATCAGAACACCCACCATCACATCACCACCACCACCATCACCACCGCCATCACACCATCACCATCATACCATCACCAACACCATCACCGTCACCACCACCATCGCTACCACTGTCACCACACCAACCATCCCCATCACTACCACCACCGTCACCACCATTGTCATCGCCATCACACCACGACCACCACAGCCATCTCCACCCTAACCCACCACCAATCCCACCAGTCTTACCACCATCAAAATCATTGTCACTTCCAACACTCCTACCCATCGCCGTTACAATATCCTGTCTTTTCTGTGACACTCTACTTTCCTGCTAGTAAGTGATCTTGGGAGATAGTTTTGTTCAAAATTTAAAAAACATCTCAGAGGGACGGTTCCAGGGAGTCTACTGGTCTCAGGTGGTACAGTTAGTCCACCTTTTTCTAAAGACATTGAGTTTTCATCTGTATTTTTCAGCCACCCTGACTGGAATCATCTACTGTGCCTGTGGTCACATGGGTTAGTAGTGCTAACAAGCCACCCACCATCTGGTGCTTTTGGTCTCTGGGTAGTTGAGGTTGTGCGTTGTGTAGGCTATCAGCCTTGTAGACTTGTGTCTTCTCTGATTTTGGTTGCCTTCCTGTTATTTTGCTCCTGACGAGTAGAGACTAGCCGTTGTATTTTCAGTGACTGCTCGCTCTTTAAGACTCCAGGCACAGCTCCCTTGACTGGAGGTGGGAGTGTGGGGGTGCCGTGGAGTCAGCATAGGGTTTCTGAGGCTGTCCATCTTGACAGGAACAGAAAGTCATGGCTTTCTCCCACAGAACAGCTTGTAGTTTCAGACTGCTGACCTTGAGTTAGCAGCCCAACTCATAACTACTGTGTGCCAATTGACTGAGTTGTCCGTGACCTATGGTCATAAGTTTTCAAATCTGGGAAATCAACCTCAAAAAGTGTACGTGTTTTCTTTCTATGGTTACTTTTCTAGTTATATTTATTGCCCAAATCCACATTTAATCTGTTCTGGACTCCTGGTGTGGTGCTCTAGGATCAGCACTGGACTACGAACCACATGGTCAGCAGTTGTAACTCACCAGCCACTCCTCGGAAACTCTAAACTGGGTTGCTATGAGTCAGAACCAACTCGACAGCATGTAACCACAAAAATCTTGCTGAAGAAAAATTCTATAGCCAAAGTATTGAACGATGTAGGAAGCATCAAAATAAGATGGAAGGAATACACAGAGCCACTGTACCAGAAAGAATTGGTCAAGGTTCAATCATTTCAGAATCAAGCACCAATTGTATTCAGGAAGAATTCCAAGCTGCACTGAAGACATTAGTGAAAAACAAGGTTTCAGGAATTGGCGGAATGCTAATTGAAATGTTTCCACAAACTGATCAGCTTTGGAAGCATTCATTAGTCTACGCCAGGAAATGCGGAAGACAGCTGTCTGGACACGCTGGAAAAGACCCCTGTTTGTGCCCATTCTAAAGAACGGTAGCTCAACAAAAGGGGAAAATATCTCTGATGGCACATGCAGGTAAAATTTTACTGAAGATAATTTTTAAATGGTTGCAGTACTCCATTGATGGGAAACTGCCAGAAATTCAAACTGAATTCAGAAGGGGACATGGAATGAGCGAGGTCATTACTGATGCCAGAAGGCTCTTGGCTGAAAGCAGAGAATACCAGAAAGATGTTTACTTGTGTTTTATCGACTATTCAAAGACATTGGACTCTGTGGCTCATAACAACTAGGGATCTGTACATAGACCAAGAGCCTGTTGTTCAAACAGAACAGAGAAGTACTGCAGTGGTTTAAAATCAAGGATGATGTGCGTCAGGGTTGGGTCATTTCACCTAGTTCTTCGGTCTGTAAACTGTATTATATGAAGACGTACATGGCATCAGTATTGGAGGAAGGCTCATTAACAATCTACAATATGCAGATGATACAACCTTCCTTTCTGAAAGCAGAGAAGACATGAAGTTATCAAGGATTTCATTTTAAGTCCATAATCAATGCTCATGAGGACAGCAATCAAGAAATCAAATGACATATTGCCTTGGGCAGATATTCTGCAAAAGGCCTCTTGAAAGTGTTAAAGAGTAAAACGTGTCACTTCAGGTACTAAGGTATGGTAATTTTCAGTTACCTCTTATGCATGTGAAAGCTAGACAATTAATAAGAAAAACGGGAGAATTTCTGTCTTCGAATAATAGTGTTGGTGAAGAATATTGGAAGTACCATAGGGTGCTAGGGAGTCCTGGGTCAATGCGCCAGACTGCAAAGCCGTTTGAACTGCAAGGTTGGCAGTTCAAGCTTACCAGCTGCTCCTCAGAAACCCTATCCAGGGTCGTTGTGGGTCGGAACCAACTCTACAGCACTTAACAACAACAACCTAGGCTGCTAGAAGAACCATCAAATCTATCTTGAAAGAAGTACAGCCAGGTACGCCTTAGAAATTAGGATGTTAAGATGTCATCTCATGTACTTGGGACTTTTTTTTTTTTTTTT